AGTTCAAACACAATTGCTATAATTAAAAATTTGTTTTAATTATACGCTAGTTTCAAAAAGAAATCCTTTAGTGCAAAAACAACAGAAAAGTTTTACTGCTACTTTTATCTGCAGCAGTGACCTGATATACGTGCCCATGTCAGAATGTTGCTTGCAGCATATTTGACAGACAGTCAGGTCTGCTTGAGACAATGAACTGTTCATTTTCTTTTCTGTACTTATGTCCTCTCATCATTCTGGTACAAGTTAATGTTTTTAGTTATTTCCAGGCAAACTGTTTTTGAGTGCCATCAGTAGTGTGCAACTTCTTGCAAAATCTCAATTACAGACTGAATTATGGGATAGATGGATGACGTTTATTGGTCACACAAGGAAATTATGAAATCAATAAATATATACAGATTGATCATATTGAATATTGAACTTGTCCTAAATGATGCTAAATGCTTCTGCATCTCTTTGGACCTCATTTTAAGATTCCAGTAACCAACTGCCAAACACAAGTTTAACATTTTGAACAATCTTCCGTTCTTTTGTCTGTCGTTGCATAATGACAGAACAGGTTGAGGTTAACTGTCCAGTTACTTTTGAGCTTCTGAAATTGAGGGACTTTGCATAAAAAAGGCTGTGATTCGTTAACACTTAATGTAGTACTGTAGTAAAATGTAGAATTTCTATACTCCACTCACATGTTGACTGATTGTAAAATCCTCAGTGGAAGTTTGAAACTGGGATGGATACACCGATGTACATGGAATGATGGTGGAGGGACATCTGATTTCAAGTTTAGAAAGAACAAAGCTGACATTGCTGTTCATATTGACAGCTCACACGGGCCCGGGTGTTGTTGTGGTAGCAAAAAACTGAATATACTGAATAGTGTCCAAGCAACACACCAAAAAAGGTTCATCTTTCCAAAAGGTTTGCTTGAAGGAAACATTAAAATGAATGTGGTGGAAAAAAATGTAGTGATATTATCAAAGCAGCGTTTTCAGTCTTCGTTCTTTCTTTTTTTAACCCCTCAGCTGTAAAAGCTATACGAAAAATTTCGTTGAATTTCAGTGACCTTGACCTCAAGGTCAGATGTCGTTTCTGAAAATCTTGTGAATGTGATATTGCAAGAAGGAATTCATCTAGGATTCACATTCGTGCTATTTTAGCACCTCTACTAGAAAATCTCAGTCGAGTTTGAATCAAGGTCAGAGATTATCTGACATTTTCTAAAAATAAATCTTGTGAATACGATAACTCAAGGCACCCAGCGTGTTTATGCCGACTACTAGGAGGCTGAGGGGAGTCAACAGTGGATACCAGCATTTGTAAACTTGAACTTAAGTTGTACAAATCTTTCAACACATTTTAGAGCATTTAAAGGATTTTAAAGCTTTGTTGTGCCATGAGAGAAGGTTGAATTTAGGAGTTCTCTGTGTGCAGCCTTCATGTTTCTCTTCAGACATATGACCTCTGCAGTAAGCCTGCCACTCCGTCTGTCAGCACGAGGAAGGGAATACAATGGCAGAGTAGAAGTCAGAGTTAATGTTGCATTCAGTCTTCTGCCATGCATGTTAAGCGTTATTAATGGAGTGTGTATTGCTAATTGCACTGCCTGAGTTGCTGTCAGATGGCTTGGGCTTTGGAGAAAATACCATTACAAGTTAAGCTTTGACTAATGGACACTAGTGGAGAACAGTACAGCGTTAACCTCGACAAAGAGGTTACCAGTTGCAGATCATATGCAGTGATAATGTGAAACTGTTTCAGTTGTTTATATTTGAGTGCAAAATTGATGTTCACGTGCCACAGAACATTAGCATGGCCATTGTGCACATATCACCAAAGGTCTGGCTAACAGCTCTTCAGGAAACACCTCCTTGGGGAAGAAATTCAATTGTATGCTTGTCAAACTGTTATCGTTCACTTTTTACATAATGAGCTACTGGACTTAAAGTTTTGTGAAGACATTTTACTTTTCATTCAAGAGACCTCTTCAGTTCCTAGGTATTAAACCATAGAGGGGGTTGTCTCTTAAGAACATTGCTTAACATGGTGTATTGAGCTCCTGGCCAAACTTGTAAATGGCCTGGATAACATGAAAGGATGCACAGGACAACTCTTTCTTGCCCTTTTATTCCCAGTCACATGCATGGCAGTACCTGATTAGTTTCTAGGTGAATTGTTTAGTTAGGTTGATAACCTTTTAAAACAAAAAAACAAAACAAAAAAACAATCAAAATGATGATTACTCTTTAGGTTACTAATGGATGGAAGATCGAATGTTTTACATTCCCTAGTTTGAGACAAATAAGAGACAAGTTGGTCTGTTTTTGAAATTTGAAAAAATTGAATTTGACCATAGTTAGGTTAGCCTTGTACCACAACCTGTTCTTTTTATGTGCGCCTTTTCTATACTGTGCCTTCCTCCTGTTTGTATATAGCTCTCATGTTTTTATATGTTTCTCAAGTTTGTTAAATATTCCTGCTGTCTTACTATTTATATTTTCTACCTGAACAGTTGGAGTGAAGCAATTTCGTTGTACAGTGACAATAAAAAAGGATTCTATTCTATTCCTGACCCAGCTAGCACACAGGTTGAGACCGATGTTTATATTGTTGTTTCATCCTTGTGAATGGTAAATGCTTATGGATTCAACTTTTTTCCTGTTACTCAGGACAGTTATTCTTTAGGTTTATTAGAAAAAAAGGTATCACGTGTTATATGATCAGGGCCACAGTTTGTTTCCATTTGTCTCCCTCCAGCTCTGTGAGTTTCTGGAGGAACTGCTGAATGCAAATGGAAAGCTGCGAAGTGAAGGCCAAGCCATGTGGAGTCTGCTCGGCGGCATCCTGGGCCAGGTACGTTTGTTCAGCCATGGCTTTTTTCCAACACATGTATTAGCTGTTGTTTAAACAAAGTCTCAGGAAGTGTCTTGTTAATGATTTAGTCTTTTGATTGGAGTATTGATTTAGATGAATGGGTTATCCATATCATACTTGTATTCAAGCTCATCTGAGCCTATAATAATAAGTTGTTTTGATTTCATTTGAATTAAAAACAAGAACATGAAACAATTTCTTAACCCATAAAAACGAGCTTTAACAATATAGCACAATACAAAACAATACTTACGCTCTGAAAGACTATGGAGGGTTTTTTTTCTTCAATGTGGCAGTTGTGTCTTAATTGTGGGTAAGTGTCTGTTAAGAGATATATTCTAAAACACTTCTTCAGTAGAGAATCAGAGAAGAGAAACACACAGAATTTCTTGGTAGCAAGGGCAGCCTCCAGAACTCACACCCCAAGAGTGAGTCTCAGAGACCCGCCCTGAGGACTGCCCTGGTCTTTTATTTATACACTTCAGTGAGCGTTTGTTCCATACATTGAAATGTGGAGGTGTGTGTGTGTGTGGTCAGAGTGTGACTCCATAAATGACTTCCCTAAACCTGCTGGTCTGGAAGTCCAGCAGTTCATCTAAACAAAAAGCACTTAGACTAAAACAGATATAACTACGTTAATCCTACCGTAAAACAATAAAACAAGGTACAACCTTTTCCCATGCTCCTAGGATGTGGGGGTGAACGACAGAACACCCTGGAATGTTACAGACCTCCTAGGATGAGACATTCCTTCAATATGCCACCAACTACATACTTCTAAACACAAATGATTACATGCAGTATTCTACCATATACAAACTTATATTATTAAAAGATTATACTGACTACTAAGTACAATTTTCCATTGACAGTGTCCAAAAACCTCAGACTGTCAGCATATTTTTTTCAGGGTCATGCCAACCAATTGGATAGCACACCAAAGCTTTCTCCTTCCTGAATGATATCCAGCTTTACATACAACAGTAGAAGTTTTTATTTATTATCCTTTATTTATCCAAGTAAAAATTCTGATTGAAATTAAAATCTCTTTTCCAAGGGAGACCTGGGAGAAAGGTGCAACAAATACAACACATAACAATATAACAAGTAAAAAACCAAATATAAGTGAATAATATGCAATAGCAGATTGTTTTTAATGTTGCTCTTGAAACAATCCATGGCTCCTCCGTCTTGCTCGTTTAAAATGGATAATAATTATTTCTGACAATTCAGTTCCTTATGATTACCGTATTTTTTGCACTACAAGGCGCACCGGACTATAAGGCGCATTAAGCGAAGCAAAACAGTCAGATAAGTCAAACTTTACTCAACTAATTCTTCTTGGTTCCTCCACTTCCATACCATTGATTCATTAACCCTTCAAGACCTACCACAGAACCAAGTCCGCCAGAGCTTATCTTTACATTTTTACATGCTGTAGTGCCATCGGGAGCATTACAAGTTGCTATACATCAATACAACCATCATAGTCCAAATTGTAATAATATGTATGCATTAAGTGCAAAGTAGCTACATAAATTGCAAAAAAGAGAGATTTATAGATAGAAGTCAACCAACGGGAAAGTCTGATATACAGTGATTGCCCATTTAGCAGCAGCATAGAGAGAGCAGTGATGTACATGATTTCCACAGCAGTCTTTAGTGGATGTTTTTCTTTTGTGAAATTTTTTTACACTTTTTTATTGAGAAGGTCTCCTCCACAGGGGCTCAAATCTCTCCTTGTGCTCATGACCTCTCAGTCTCTGTTTCCTGCTCTGCTGTCTTTAACAGGTTTGAGCCCGTGACTCTGTCCTTTTTAAAGGAGACTGTTGGTCATCTTAAGCCTGCAGGGTCTCCAAATCATGCTGTCCCTCCTCGACTTTCAAAAGAGGTGTTACCTACAGTTGGTCCTTTGGTTCTTGAGCTGGTAAACCATAGTCTGATGTCAGGTGTTGTCCCTAAAGATTTTAAACATGCAGTAGTCAAACCCCTGATTAAAAAAACCTGCTCTTGATCCTACGGTTCTTGCAAATTACAGGCCTATCTCCAAACGACCTTTTCTTTCCAAAATTCTTGAAAAGGTAGTTTACAGCCAAATAACGGCCTTCCTGGAAAAGCAAAATGTGTTAGAGGTTTTCCAATCTGGTTTTAAACCCTTTCATAGCACTGAATCAGCCCTTAAAAGTTTTTAATGACATATTCTTAGCGACTGATGCTGGGGACTATGCTGTTCTTGTGCTTTTAGATTTGACAGCTGCGTTTGATACCGTGGATTATGCCATTTTATTCTCTCGTTTGGAGCACTGGGTGGGCATTAGGGGCACAGCACTGGAGTGGAGTGGTACTTGGCGGGGCGAACTTTTTGTGTCAGCCTCGGTGACTATGTGTCGTCCTCCGCTCCCCTCTTGTGTGGTGTCCCACAGAGCTCAGTTCTAGGCCCCCTCCTCTTCTCTTTATATCTGCTTCCTCTTGGTTCTGTACTGAGAAAACACAGCATTGCTTTCCACTTTTATGCTGATGACTGTCAGATCTATGTCCCTCTAAAGAAAAAAGGCAGATACCTTACACAGCCATTACTTCAGTGTCTCGATGACATTAAGACTTGGATGTCTGTTAACTTTTTAAAATTCAATGATAAAAAGACCAAGGTGATGGTTTTTGGTAGCCCCACTGAGACCCCCAATGTGTATGTAGATTCCCTGGCACAGTATGTTAAGCCAACTGTCACAAACCTGGGGGTCAAAGTGGACTGTGATCTGAAGCTTGACAGTCAAATTAAGGCAGTGGTAAAATCTAGCTTCTTTCAGCTCAGGCAGCTGCAAAAATAAAGCCAATTCTTTCACGGCAGCACTTTGAGACAGTGATCCAGGCCTTTGTTAG